AACAGTCAAATTTCCTCACAATAAATTGATAAAAAATTGAAATTTCGATATTATGGCAACAGAAACTAATGTGCAATAGTTCAACTTTAACCGCCGCTACTCAGCGCATATTTTCAGAAAAAGCAAATAAACTACAATAATTGGGAATTTGTGATAGTATCGAGTCTAAATACGACATATCATTTGTGACCGATGACTGCCATGCCAGTCACCTGGACAACAGCCCAATGTCAGACAAAATGTCAAAAAGATGCTCTCCGATTGGTGTTTTCCATCGGCAATACAAACTGATTCGCCCTCACTCACGTGTCATTTTTGTAAACAAACAATATAAACAAATTTTACAAAGTGTGATTTTTACAGTGTTGTTTTAAGTTTGTGTTTTTATATAAGTTGTTGTTGTTGTTTTTTTTTTATATGTCTCTAAGTCAAGACAATGCAGGCAATACCCCAGGCAATTCAGTTTTTGGTCACCAAGGTAATCTAGTATCTGATATTTCATCGGAAAATTTAGTTCAATGCCCACGATGTTCTCAAGCTCGCTACTTCAAAGGGGCCAGAGGTCTGAAAATACATTTATCACGGTCTCACAAAGAATTAGCACAGCCAAACAATCAATCATCACATAATCCGATCCGGCAAACATATGATATTGATACATTATCACAACCTTTTTGGCAAATAATTTCAAAATTGAAGTCCTCGATTCCCATCATAAGGAGAATTCCTCGAGGAGCACGTATTGCTGTTGCCGAGGAATTGACAAAAACAATTAAAAAAGTCAATTTGAAAAATACTCCTGAAGCCTGGGAACATCTATTCACCTTTGCTTACAAAATTCTTCACGCTTGTCCAGATCATACTAACAACCCAAAATCGCTAACAGCTATTATCAAAGAAAATTGTCAGAAGACAAATATACACTTTCCGTCAAATTACCCCAATAGAAACAAACCTAAATCGTTATTTCATTACGTAGAAACCAAAATAAGTGAAGGTGATATCAAAGGCGCATCTCGACTATTATTTTCCGATGACATTGTCGCACCAGATATTCCAGAAACTCTTATAGCCCTTGAAAGCAAACATCCTCCATCAAGACCAAATTCTACATTTCCAGACCCTCCTATTTCTTCTGATGCTTTTTTACAGACAGAATCACGCGATGTTTTGGATGCAGTCAATTCCTTTAGAGGTGGTTCTGCCGGTGGACTAGATGGTCTGACGCCTCAACACCTAAAAGATCTCTTAAGTGGTAACAATGGTGAAGCTGGTGAAAGCCTCTTAAAGGAATTAACTAAACTTATAAATTTAATGCTCTCAGGTAACGTTCATACCGCGATTGTAGATATTCTCTATGGTGCGAATCTTTGCGCTCTTAAGAAAAAAGATGGTGGTATCCGACCAATCGCGGTAGGTTCTACTTTTCGCCGTCTTGCTGCTAAAATATGTTGTAAGTCAATTCGTAGCACGCTTAGCAACTACTTCGACCCTTTACAGCTAGGGTTTGGAATAAAATGTGGTTGTGAAGCGGCAATACATTCTCTTAGAACATTCTTAGATATTCAACCAAAAGATCTTGTCTTGAAGGTAGATGTAAAAAATGCTTTCAACTCGGTAGATAGGTCCACCCTGTTGACACAAATAAAAGACAAAACACCATCTATATACAATTTCTTATGGCAATGCTATAGATCACCTTCGAAATTGATTTATAAAAACCACCTTTTGTCCTCTTCCGTAGGATGTCAACAAGGTGACCCACTCGGGCCGGCACTTTTTGGTTTAGCTATTCATCCAATTATTTCAAATCTAAATTCTAAATTCAATGTGTGGTATCTGGATGATGGTACGTTAGGAGGAGAAGCCGAATCAGTTTTTTCAGATCTAAAATATCTAATCGAAAATTTAGAAAATTGTGGCCTAGAGTTAAATTTTAGTAAATGCGAGCTCTATATTCCTAGTACAGTCAATGAAAAAGAATCCATAATTTCCAAATTTAATGCTCTAGCTCCGGGCATAAAAATTATATGTAAACAGTCACTTTCACTTTTAGGGTCTCCAATTTGTGATGAATATTTCAATCAGTTCACTGAACAAAAAGTAATAAAATTTAAGTCAGTTGCTGATCGTTTACTAAAAATTAATAATCAAATGGCTTTCACAATTATGCGTTATTGTCTGTTTGTTCCTCAATTTACCTATGTTTTACGTTCAGCACCTTTTTGGAAACACACAAACCTTACACTTTCAATGGACAAAGCAATAAAAGAAATTGTTTCCACTATACTTAATATCGATATTAGTGACAAAATTTGGGACCAGGCTTCTCTTCCTATACGCTTCGGAGGTTTAGGTTTACGCAAAATTTCTAGTGTTGCCCTTCCAGCATTTTTATCTTCGGTCCATAGCACCTATGACCTGAATAAAAAAATATTGTCTAAAACATCTTCAGCTGCTGCTATCTCCAATATGGCCGAGGCAAAAACTGCTTGGGAGATATTATCTGGAAGTGATTTTCCAACAGTAATGACAGCTCAAAAACATTGGGACGAGCCGCTCTGTAAATTGGTACGGAATAATCTATTAAACACGTCTGCCAATTCTGCAGAGCATGCTCGTCTCTTAGCTGTCGCTGAGTGGGAATCCGGTCTTTGGTTACAAGTATTGCCGTCATCGACTGTTGGGACACTTCTAGATAATACAACTTTTCGCCTTTCAGTTTGTCTTCGCCTGGGGGCAACCTGTAATCTCCCCCATCTTTGCCCTTGCGGTGAAACGGTGGACTCTTTAGGTCATCACGGCTTATCTTGTAGCAGAAGTGCCGGTCGTATCTCTCGACATGCAAGTATCAATGATATTATCCGTCGAGCTCTTGCTACGGCGTCAGTGCCAGCCATTCTAGAACCGAACGGGCTGACTCGCGACGACGGTAAGAGACCTGATGGGATGTCTTTGGTACCTTGGAGGATGGGTCGACCCCTAGTATGGGATGCCACCTGCGTTGATACTTTGGCGCCAACTCATCTTCCACGAACATGTCTTGAGGCGGGTGTAGCCGCCGCTGCTGCAGAAAGCCTCAAACGGCGAAAATATTCAGGTATAAGTAATACCTACATATTTGAGCCGTTTGGGGTCGAAACGATGGGTCCGTGGGGCCCTGGAGCCCATCGTCTTTATCAAGAGTTAAAAAAGAAACTTTTTGACAGGTCAGGTGATCAGAAGGCTGGTTTGTACCTCGCCCAAAGAATTAGTTTAGCTATTCAAAGAGGTAACGCTCGCAGCCTTCTGGGTACCTTACCTGTAGGCAATGATCTGGGAGACATTTTTAATTTAGTTTAGTTATTATTTTAAGTTTAGATAAGTAGTTTCAATTTAATATGTATTTTAGAAGTTAAAAAGTATATTATTTATGAAAATAAAAACAGTAATAATATTTAGAAAATAAGGTTCTAGCAATGTGGCACCAAGACCCAAAAAGAACTAAGACCCATTCCTGAAAACAAGAGTATACAATGTGGAGAATAAAGTGTCCGACGCCCAATGCTTGGTATAGGCCTCCTTCGTGGATTTTCACGGCGATTAAACATGTCCTTTTCCATTCAGCGGTTTCCCGCAACTTTTATCAGAGTCACCAGGTTTAGGGCTTAAGTACAGAGCGCTGTCTGGTTTGCGGTTATCACTTTAGAACACCCGTTAGAGTAACTCTAAAGGCTATCTGTTCTTCTCGTGTCCAGTTCACTGCTATTTCAACTTGAGGCAATTTCCTAAATTTCAAATTTGCCACAAAATATCGATTGTCAAGTTTGGTTTTCAAGTTGGAATAGAGAATTTATAAAAACCATTTATCATGATTCGCTGATTTTCCAAAACTACATAACTGATAAAAAAATACTTTCACCTACAAAAAGCGACATCGCATGCGGATGATATAGACTATAATGTATGCGACGAAATCGCGGGAAAACAGTTAGTTTCTAATAAATATAGCTTTCAGTACAATAACTTAAAAATGGTATAATTCTTAAGCGAAATAAATACCCTTAAACCGAATAATATGTATACAAAAGTGGAATAATTTTACTATGGTGAGGGACAACGCAATATAGGAGTAAGGTGATTGTTAGCTTTATGGTTATGATGGTGCCATTATTAAGGCGTGTGTTTTAGACGTGTGTTAATTTCTGAATAATGAACGGCAGGTATGTGGGTAAAGTCAAATCTGATATTATGGCGCCCGCCGTATACTCTATAGTACCCTACGAACAGAACACAGAAAAGTGGTTTATGTGTTCTGTGGCACTATAACATGTAACGGTGTGCCGTACCACCGCTTATTTCGTTCTAAGTTTCCGCATGCAAACTTTTTGTCTTTGATATTCAACATCATTAATTTTTATTAATTTCCTTTCGTAATTTGAAATTTTGATTAATCCAATATGCTCTTTGTGAATGTCAGTTCGTAAAAAAATCATCTGGTGTGAACATGTTAATGTAATATAAATTTAAATATAAAATTTTGTAATAATTAAGATATTATAATTTAAATAAGAAAAATGTTAATCTAAAACTATATCTTCGTGAAATATCGTCCAAGTTTTATCTATTAAAGGGAACCCAAAAAGGGGTGTAAAATGTATTTGTTTTATTTAACAATTGTAACTATACGAACTGTTATTATATTCATTTTTTGTTTGTTACACTTTTTCTTAACTTTAGGACCGTATAATAAAATCAAGTTCTCAAGCTTAGTCAACCTTTCATTTATTCGCCCAAGCATCGAACCGATATGCGAATAGCCCTCTTTAGACCTTAACTCCTTTAGACCTTTAGTTTATTGTGGCAGGAAAATCGGTTAGTTACGTTATAGCACATTAGGGCACCACACCATTAACTGTCAAATCAGCATTCAATTTTGAACTCTAACTAGTCAGTCTTGTAATTTTATCATGGAAAGGGAGCAGTCACCCGGATTGCCAAAGGTCGTGGGTCATGGGTCTCAACTCAGAGACCCTGGGATTTTTCATTAAGAATATATTATTACAATTTAACGAGCGTTTTCATAAACGCATTTTTTCTAATTGTCTATTTTAGTTTCAGCTTTCTTTTGATTATGAATGTTTTGTTGGGCTTTGGAACTTGGGCAAATAATTCAAACGTATTTTGCCAAGAAAATAATTCTATTTTGTCAGTTTAATGCAAGGAGATGCTTTTAAGTACCGCCATATCTAATCAATCAAACGTTAGTGATACCGACGGCACCATTACCGCAGCCGCACGTGGCGATACCAGTACCAGCAGTTGGCAGCGTACCCTCAAACGCTACCGCGCTCAGGAACGGCAGAGAGCCGCTCACCAACAAGGTGCCGTCGATTACGTTCTCTGACGCCAAAGCGAGTCCACTGGGGCCGATGGGGGAGATGTTAGTGACAATCAGAGGGCTGCTCGAACCGATAGTGAGGCCTCCAAGATTAAATGCCACGCCATTTAATCCAGCATTACCGCCAATCACACCGACGCCGCTGCCGATACCTCCGCCAATCACACCGACGCCACTGCCAATACCTCCGCCAATCACACCGACGCCGCTGCCGATACCTCCATAATTCACACCAACACCACTGCCAATGCCAGTGCCAACCAAACCGAAACCGTTTCCATACCCGTTAATCAGGCTGGCACTGCCAATTCCGGTATTAGTAGCTCCATATGAACTGATTCCGGAGTTAACCACGTTGATGCCGTTTGCTCCAGAGTTTCCAGTAATAATATTATCTATAATCGTGTTGCCAGAGTAAACTGGGACGGAGTAAACAGTCTGAAATTATGATTAATACTTTTATTAGCCAGGTTTATCTAGATCATTCTCAAAATTGATAGAGTAACAAGCTATTTTCCCGCAACTTGCTCGCTAAATTATAGCCTATGTCACCGGCGGTAGGTAGGATCAGTACAGCAGTTTCGGAGCCTATTCGATGCAAACAATCAAATCGCTCCTCTCTATTATATAGATAGGTATGCATTATAATATAGATTAATGTTACTGTGGCAAATTATCTCTTTATAAAAGAGATTAATGTCACTACGACAAATAATCTTTTACCGAATTATTAAACAAAATTTTTGCGTTTTTTGAGAGTATCAGTATTAGGCTTAATCCAAATAGCTTGTTGCATACAATTATGCTAGGTCCTTTATACACGATCGTTCTAGCTCAAAATTATAAAACTCTTTTATTTACCTGAACGAGGAACGCCGAAGCGAGGATAAGAACTTTTTGAGCTGCCATTTTGGTTTTCAAAATGAAACTATGATTGTTGTGAATTTACACAGTAGCTTTTAAATACCCAGACTTGCACAAATATGTGCGCTATCTCCATTTCAATGACCTTATTATACAGGTAAGTTTATCAGTGTCAAAACTTGTTGATTTTTTATACGTGACAGTCTAATATTGTTTGATATTTAAGTTAAAATCCAGGCAATAAAAATTAGAAAATAATCCTTTTGTAAGTATAAAAGCCAGCTTCTTTTTTTGGAATTATCATTCAAAGGTCAACAGACATAAGTATAACAGCCATGCGTACTGCAACTTTCTTCTTGATCTGCATTCACGCTTTGCTCATCCAGGTATGATTTCAAATTTTATTTTCACAATTTTTTAATGAATTCAAATTTTAAAATCTATCTATAATATATAAAAGCGAAAGGTCACTCACTCACTCATGAAATTTCAAAAACTACAAGTGGTAGGAGTTTCAAATTTTGCATGCAGGTTCTTTTTAGGACGTAGGTGCTCACTAAGACGGGATTTTACGAAATTCGACCCCTAGGGGGGTTAAATGTTTTTATGGAATTTTCTCATTTCTGGTCTTAGAACCAGATTTCGCGAGTGAAGCCGCTGGCGGAAGGCTAGTAATGAATAAGTATGATTAAAATGCTGGTTCAGCTATGTGATTGCTAAATAAAAACATTTAAATTAAATGCGAAATATTAATTATTTTACAGAATGCCTACAGTCAATTTGGTTCCTTGAACTATGGTGGTTTTTTGGGTGACACTGGCGTCGATTTTACTGCCACTGCCGCCAGCAGTGGTTTGGCTGGACTCAGTGGATACTTGGAAAATGGTGGCCTTTATAACAACGGCCTTGCACTGAACACACTTGGTCTTAGCGGTCTTGGTGTTAACAACCTTGGATTAGGCCTTGGTAATGCTGGTTTAACCACAGTTGGTTTGGAGAATGTTGGCGTAGCTGGTCTTGGAGTTGGCAACATTGGACTTGGTCTCAGTAACGCTGGCTTGGCTGTGGGTGGATTGAATAACGCTGGTTTAGGACTTGCTGGTCTCGGCTATGGCGCTGGTCTCGGCGTACAAAACGTGGCTGCTACATCCCAGGTGCCCGTAACCGGCCCGTTCACCGCTACTGGCAACGCTGAGTTCGTGGTCGGAGGTGACTTTGGCGTCGGCGGTCAAGCTGTCGTCGGTGGTCAGATCCCAGTACTCGGTGCTGTTGGCTTCTCTGGTGTGATACCCGCCAGTGGCGTTGTCTCCATCGCCGGCAACTGCGGCTGCTCGACTATACCTCTGTAAATTATGAACTATTCATTTATTGCTACAAACGGAGAATTAATAAAAGACTCGTATATTAAATTCTATTTTTAATTTTCTTAATAACTTTTATGTTTTACATTCAGAAAGTTCATTGAAGTGTAAAAAAAATATCTAGATTCAACTACACTTTACACGGCTCCGGATACACGGTTTCACTCCACCACTTCTCGTTCAATAATACCTTAAAACTCGAAATTACCTTACAGCAAATCTAGTAAATCAACATTCAGTTCCCTGGCTAGTAACCACAGAAATAGATCTAGTTAGAAGGAACATGTTCGTCGATTTATATGGAGACCGAGCGTGCCCCATTTTATGTAGGTATCATGACGTCACGAACTTAGTTTAGTGATGGAAAACATAATTTCTCTTCAATCGAATACATGTTGTATTTGAAACAGCATACCAATTCTTATCGATTTAAAAACCGATATCGAACGACGGAGACCAATGTGTAACATTTTGCTTAAATATTATGTATATGTCACGAATGTAATTTAGTAAAACTGCACAAAATAGTACGTGCGGTGGCGTGACGGAGTCAGCGTAGTTGACGATCAAAATATCGGACCTTTGTCTTCATTGTGAATAGAAATAAGTATATTCCTCTGTCTAACATTATTCGTGTGACCAAATCATTTTACTTATACCGTATACCTAATATCATATTTTTATCAGTAAGAACCGATAGCTAAAATGATAATTAGTTTTGACAGACAAAATGATAATACTAACGTATCGATAGAAAAAAAATGAGAAAGTCACAGACTTCAATTTAGAATTCAATATAAGTCGATTAATTGAGATCGAGATTGCGTCAATGACTACAAAACTAAATGGATCAATAATTTATTGTCACAATAATACAGTATCACATACTTTATATCAATATATGTTCAAAAATACTCTGAATTTTATGATAATACTTACCATTTCACACTTTCTCTTCCTGCGCTTACTGTACATATTATTTGATTCCTTATCTGAACAAGATGGGTCTATCTGCGGCACAAATTGTATTACATTCATTAATTATATAAAACAAAATATTATCAAACAAAGTAACTATTTCATTTTCTATTTGCAGTAAAGTCAAAAACTACTAGTTTTCACCAATAGAAAGAATGATGCCATGTATAATTTGCCTAAGCAAAATAATGTGTGCTGAGGCCACTATTAATATCCACTGTAATACAAAATATCACATTTGAAATCCTAACAGTAAACACCGTTTAGCTACTACTAAGCTAAACGGTGTGATTGTTCATTTAACTTCTTCTTTTATTTAATTCCCTCGCACAACTGTGTTTGAATCTGTAACTAAACAAAGATGTGCAAAAGAAATATTACACTGTCACTAAATATATTTCTGTGATACTATCCTATCTATTTATGTCACCTGATTTATCCATTAGATTCGGAAAATTACGGCTGTGACATACGGACGAACAGGCAGACTCATGTTCGATAGGATCGCTGGTAGATTACACTTTTTGTATGAAATAATGTAAAAAATCTTAAGGTATACTTTACCTTTTTTTCAGTTGTCATTATCACAACATCAATAGTCGGATATGCTGTTTTTATTACTCGTCGGTACTTTGATGGACCAGTAAAGGTATCTTCATAGAAATGAATTGAACAAATCCGACTGTTTTTTGTAGGATACCAATTTTTACGTCCTGTTGCTTCAATCCATTTTTTTTTTAATATATGGATCATTCGGAAAACTTAAAAAAAAATACAGTACAAATATTCAATATAAAAAATAAATTATCATTTCTTCTGCTTAAAAAACGATTTTTTTTAATCGGTTAAACAACTTCGCATTGTACAGCACTATTCGCCATTTTTGTCAGAATTTGACCTTCAACAATTTGTCCTTGAATTATAGATCGATGGTTTTACAAGCACGGCAAATTTGGTTCGTCAAATTAAAGCCGTAATGGAAAGCTATTACTGGACACGTGATCGTTTTGACGAAAATAATACGGAGCAAGAAAACAAATGATTTTTAATGCTTAATGGATATATCAAAACAAATAATTACTTACCGATGGAAGGAAATACCTCGATTATAAGATCCAACTATACTGGTGGTGTTTGAGCAGTTAATTATTGAACAACGCGTCATTTTAAATTTCACACCTAACGTTGAACTCGGATTACAATCGAAAGTAGACTGAGCCTCGCGGCGAGCAACGAAGCTGTCTAGACGTCGTTTCGGCACGCGAAGTACGTACACTTTTTCCTTCTAACTAGATATATTTCTGTGCTAGTAACATTATTTTAGGTTAAATTAATAAACTAGCTTATTTAATGACACTCTCTATAAATCATTCTGTTTTGTGAATAAATCAATTTGTTTATTATATTTGATCAATTTTGCATTCACGATGCTATAATGGAAAATATTCGTAATGAAAGATTCTTAAAATGAGTCACAAGTGCTTGAAGAAATCGTCGGTCCTGTTAGATCTTTGGTCAAAGTGGATTACTTTAGCGTTTTTCAATTTGTTAAACTAAAAACCTCGGTCGGGAGTAGCTCGGTGGCGTAGTGGATAAGCGCCGCGGCCCGCGATCGTTGTGTCATTTTTTCCTCTTGTATAGCGGCCAGATATTTTAAGATGTAGGTATGTAGTTTGAGATTACTGTTGAATAAACCTGTTTGATATGTAAATGTTTTGTCTAAAGTTTATAACATCAATATAATTTCTCAATTTTAAACCTTAATAAAATTCAATATCCATTGCGGAAATTCAATCAATATCCATTTAATATTGTGGTAACGAGACGTGCTGCCTTGTGTACATATATTCTGAAGCGAATCTAGCAGTCACTAAATCCAAAAGGTTTAACATTTTATTTTTGATAATATTGTTTTAGTAGTAGCTCGGTGGCGTAGTGGATAAGCGCCGCAGCCCGCGATCATAGTCGTTAGGCAACTTTCGCAAGGGTCGGGTACGGGATGGGTGACCAAAAAATTATTATCTCGAGCTACTCCGTGCTTCGGAAGGCACGTTAAGCCGTTGGTCCCTGCTGCATTTGCAGTTGTCAATACCCTCCAATCCGCATTGGGCCAGCGTGGAGGGTCATGGCCCATACTCCTTAGCCATCCATAAGGAAGGCCTGAGCCCCTGCAGTGGGGACATAAAAGGGCTGACGACGACGATATATAACTAAAAACCATACTTTGTAATTGCATTTTGCAATATCACAAGTGTATTATGATTATAAGTAGATTGCTGATTCAATAAAAATACTAGTACATGATAACATCTCATAAAAATACTTATTTTAAGATAATTATATCTCTTATATTAATTTTCAATCCTTAACAAACCTCAATGCTAACTTAACTAAAAATATATACATATATATGTTTCACTATAAAAAATTAAAGTGTCTTAAAATATGGAAGGCCAGAAAAAGTGTTCAAGGTTCCACATTGGTTGATATGACGACGTTTCTTAACACAAAAACACAAAATATTGACAAACAGTATATGGAAATATAAGCAAAGAAAAAAATTATAAGGCTAACAATTATTCGATCAAATAGATTTGTATATATCGATATTTGAAATAAAATGTATTACTCTGTCAAACAAACTATTTCTTATTTATCCAAATTTATTTTATCTCCTTTAAAGTTAGCTCTTTCAGAAACGATACA